CTCTCTCTCTCTCTCTCTCTCTCCCCGATTCACTGACTCCGGATCGATGGGCTCAACATATGATTTTGATTTAATCATTTTGATTACCACTGCCTCCGCGTTTTGATTATAAAATCATACAATTATTTGATTATTTCATAATTACATTTGGAAAAAATAATATTGAAATACAATTATATTATTTTAATATTTTTACATACGATTGAATCGATTGAAAGCACTTTCCGACTCACAATCTTCGCGAAAGTGAATAATAATAATCACAAAAATAATATTATGTTTAAGAATGAGAAGAATATGTTTACATAATATCATATATAAATCGTATAGAAGAGGGAGAAGTGAATCGCATAAAAATTGGTCGCTTGTGTTACCTCTTGTTATTTAAGATGTATAACGAACTCATGTTCAGAGCATTCCTTATACTTATAGACCCACTCTTTTTATTAATAATAAGTTATTAAAAATAATCTCAAAATTCAGGCCCAAAACCATTGATGTCTGGGTTAGAAGTGTTAGTGAAATCATGTAATACTTATGCAATATATTTGATGCCAATATAATTATTAGTCGATTAATAAAAATAGCAAAAATGAATATAAATTATCATTTTTTGTAATTCTTTTTCGATACCATATAAATAGGATTGCATTTGCCTTTCAAAGTGCTTATCTAACGATCGGATTCCCTCATCACATGATTATTGACCCGAGAATTGAACACAACATCAGAATATATTTTTATTAACATTTATAAAAAACATATTTTAAATGCCAAAAACCGAATTACAGTGAAGTTATTTAAACGTCTTTTTATCACTGATTCGGCAGATATTCTTAGTTTTCATCCCTTATAATAAAATATAAATAAGTTTTATCATTAAAATATAGCGTAAAAATCATACAAAGTATGAAATAAATGTCCATTAATATGCCATCGGTTGGCAATAATCCTTTTATCGACGTAATCGTTAATATATGGGTAATTGTATTTGCGGTGCAGTTCTCAGCATTTAGTATAAAAGTAACAAAAAAAAGTTTTGGTTTAGTTTTAGTAAATTTGAATCCAACAAAAAAGTGCATATTTTCTAATAGAGAAATGTGTTTAAAATAGGATTTGAGAGCATTTTGTGATTACATAAACTCTTTTCTTATTTGTCTAACTTTTGACGATAAGCTCTAAATCTTTCCTCTCACACAATATTCACAACCAAATTAGAAATTGCTTTTAATTATAGCCTAAACATAGAGTCCAGTCTCAGGGATCGCATTGTGCCCAATGTGTGCACCATATATGCAAAGCCCATTCAATTGCTTTTACTATGCTTTTACTGTTAATTACGCTAAACGTGATAAAAATTGAGTTCAAAATAATTCAATTCAATTCAATAAATGCATTCAAAGTTGAGAATTGAGTCCTGAATTTGAATGCATTTCTCATACAATCCATGTCTGGACTCACAGTTAGCGCACTCTTTCCACTCCACTATTAATACATGCATTCACTCAACACATAGTTATATATGTTAACCACACGTCTGTACAACATGTGAAGCAGCCATTCAATGGCTTCATTCAATGACACACAGGTGTGGGTCAACTCATATACACTGGAGAGTGAAGGCATCAACTATTATAATGCCCTCACTCTCCACCCCTCCCACTCCTAAGCCGTTGTGCATTAAGCCATTGAACGCATGGCCTCTATATATGTGTCGTTCCTATAATACATGGTTTGTAAACAAACGCTATCTAAAGGCAAACACGTGTTAATTGTTTTGTGGCGTTAATTGTCATCAATGGATCAGTTGAGTGATAAAGACATTGTCGACGAGACACCTGTCGTACAGCAGGATATGGCCGGAGAAGAGGTTAACGAAGAAATGAAAGAAGAGGCCGAAGAAAAGGCCGAAACAGACAATGAATTGAGTGATAATGTGTTGCCGAGTGATGAAGACGTGAAGACAACTAAAAGTGGTAAAAAAGTGGTGAAAATCAGTGACAATAAAGCGAACAAAAGAGGAATTCTGTACTTAAGTTATATACCAATTGGTCTTAATGTCAATAAAATCCGCCAATTATTGTCTGAATTCGGAGAAGTGGACCGAATATTCCTCCAGAAGGAGAGGACGCCTAACGTTGTCAGCGGTTCCGCGAAGAGAGCCCTCAGGAAGAAGTCCTATAATTGCCGTTACGTCGAGGGATGGGTTGAGTTCCGGAAGAAACGTGTGGCCAAATCGGTGTCCAATCTTTTGAATGGCAAACAAATCGGTGGTAAACGGAAGAGTAAATTCTATGACCAGATGTGGAGTTTGAAATATTTGCATAAGTATTGGCTTTTATTGATTATCTTTGTATGAATGGTATTAATGATTGTGTTATGCATTGAAGGTTCAAATGGAGTCATTTAGCGGAACAGTTGTCTTACGAGAAGGCTTTGACTCAACAGAAGCTCAGGTTTGAGATCTCGAGGGCGAAGAAAGAGACCTC